CGTCAATGGTTGAAGAAGCGAGATGAGGTAGTAAGCCCGCTTGACTCGTTCCATCTCTCCTTTCCCGCTTCTCGATTTCCTTCGCACGGCTTGACTCGACCACGTGCTAACTTACGAGCTACGATCGCTGTTCCCTTCCACGTTTTCTCCTCTCTCTCTCTCTCTTTCTCTCCTACATTCCATCCGACTTTCTTTCTCTTTCGCCCGTCTTCCTGCTGGCTCCTCGTCCCATTGCTGGCTGCCCTCGCGTCGTATCGTTTTTTCGCTCTCCTCAGGACCACTCTAGATTATTAATCCACCAGCGAGAGAGGATCCGTGACGTTCACAGAGAGAAAATTATGGCCTGGGAGCACGGTCAAGGTGCTGTTGCGTTAACAAGCGTTAGAGGGAGGATAGCGGCTTCGGGAAGATACGAGATCGTGTTCTCGCCGAGAAACCGAGGGCTTCAATGGACGTAAAAAAGGAACACACTGCAATCCTGATCAAAACTGATATCCGATGACGCGATTTGTTCCGCGAACTCCTCGGTCAAGCGAGAGTCTCGAGCGCCTCGAGGATCATTTGCAATCCTCGCGCGAGCGATTCATCCCGGTTCTCTCGCGCGATGTAAAGCTACACACAATGTAAGACACGAATTATAGAGTCCCCGTGTCCCAAAAAAGTAGCGCGTTGTACAAAAAGCGCTGCGCCACTTCGTGTTATAACGCACTGTGAAGATTCAATTATCTCGCAAACGGGATATCTTGTCGTTCCCTCTCTTTCTAAAATGGATCTCTGAATCTTTTTCTGGCAAATATACGTCGAAAAGACAGTTTGTACACCTACATCTTATCCGAGTAGAAATATAAGAAGGAATGTATCTAGTAGAAACAAGACCGGGACAGCAAGCAACGCTTTTTCCACGTGTAAAATGTAATTTAGAGTCTTCCATCTTTGAAATTCGGTTCATATGTATACGAAACAGTTATTGAAAGCAAATGAGACAAAGAGGCGGAAAGAGAAGGAAAGTGATAGCGCGCTGGACAGAGATGGAATAAAAGAATGAAAAGGATGAAAGGAAAGAAGGATAAGAAAGAGAGAGAGAGAGAGAGAGGGGGAGAGAAAGGGAGAGAGAGAGGTCGGCAGGGTTCAAAGAGCCGACACAGTGGTTAAAGAGCCTTCTTCCTCTCTCCATCTCGACACGCACAAGTACAAGACGCAACCTTTCGAGCTGAACAGAGGGGTGGGAGAGCAGTGTTCTCGCTTTTTTTTCCTGCAGCCTTTCTCTCTCTCTTCCTCCTTCCTTTCCTCTCACATCGGCGCAGCAAATTTATTTCACGTTCCTGCCTTTTCTGGACCTTTCACAATATTTGGCCACGCTTTGGCATCCGATACCGATGGGCACTGGTCACCGAAAGATACGACTTTGAGCCGTTCGTGATGGATGGTTCGCTCTTCAGGCTGCCACGAACCGCGCTGTTCTCTTTCTCTTTCCTTTTTCTCTCCCTCTCTCTCTTTCCCTCTTTCTCTCTCTCTTCTTCTCGTTCTATTTCTATCTCCGGTTTCTCAGCTTCCTTTTCTATCCGATAAAGCATGTTAGACGACAGCGAGATACAGGGCCGCTTAGCTTTGGGACACGCGTGATCCTGAAATGAAAATTGTATAACATGTCGTGCACGAAACGCATAAATCATGGGTCAGCATTTGGAAAAAGTAATATTTTCTTTTTTGAATAATACATATGTCTTCGTAAAAGATGACGACGAGATAAATCTCTGCCCGTCTTAAATTTCCTGATCATTTGCCAATTTCACGGGGTGACTCGAGATTACCAAATGTTGAAGAAGATACTTTCGCGAATATCGCTGCGGGAGCATTGGGCGACCGTGCGAGCCGTCCCTGGAACGACGGACCCTTCAGCCCCGGGACCGTTCTCCAGCGCGTTCGTGCAGGTATATAAATTCTAGTGCTATTATTGGGGTTTGCGCCTTCTCTCACAAGGCCCTCCGGACCCCACGGCGGCCTCTTTGAGCTACTCTTTTCGCCTCTCTCGCTCTCGGTGCCCTTTCGCTCTCGCTTATCGTTCTCGACCCCCGTCCTGGTCCCCCCCAGCATCACCGTCATCTCCTCCTCGTCCTCCTCCTCGTCTTCCTCGTCCGCCGCCGCCGCCACCGCCCCGTTCCGTCTCCTCTTCTCTCGTCAGTTATGCCGCACCGCCCCTGTGTCCTGTTTGTTTTTCCTCGCGTCGTCTTCCGTTTGCTAAACGCACCTTAAATTACGTGGCCGATGATAAATATTTGAGCCGTCCATTACACGAAAAGACCCAACTCGGACCGTCGTTCGGACCAATGTTACCCTCCGCTCTTGCTCGACATTAGGTTCCTCTGGAATATCGTGTTACCTCGAAAAAGAGACAGCCGAACTCGTACATCGACGATGCACCGACGCGACCGATGGACCGCGTCTCGTCGATAGAAATTTGCAGGATGAAGAGGAATTTTCGGTCTGCTGCGACTCGACGTAGAAAAAACAAACCCCAAGAAGTCGACCACATCGAAGATTTTAAATCGAGACACGTTGAGTTAAATTTTGGATAAATTTCCATTTTTAACTGCTTGGGATCAATACTTGACGAACGTTACTTTCGTTTGAAAAAAACAAATATTTTATGCAGAATGCATATAATACAGATTACGCAAAGAATAGTTTATCAAAATATTCTTCTCTCTTTAAATTCAATTTATTATATTTTAAGTAGTCAGACATTCCCTTTAGAAGCTATTTAATCTCTAGTTTCACCAAAAGCTCCTCTTTTAAATCTCCAAGCAGGAAAAAGCATCAAGCCCTAAAAAATCGACCCTATCGAAGATTTTAAAGAGAGATACGTGGAGTTAAATTTTGGGTAAATTTAACATTTTTAACTGTGCTTGAGCACAATACTTAACGAGCGTCACTTCCGTTTGGAAAAAACAAATATTTTATGCAGAATGCATATAATAAAGATTACGCAAATAAGATATAGTTTATCAAAATATTATTCTCTCTTTGAATTCAACTTATTATATTTTAAATAGTCACACGTTCTCTTTGGAAGCAATTTAATCTCTAGTTTCACCAAAAGCTGCTCTTTTAAATCTGCAATAATCAGTAAACTATCCACTTACCGACACTAAAGAAGAGCTTTACATTTCTATATAAATTAATTAGAAAAGTCTAGAATCGATAAATCTGAGAAAATTGAGATCAAAAGTAGAAATAAAAAATCTCGAGTATATTCACTCGATAAGAGAATCGATAAGAACCTGCGCTATCGGAATCTATCGAATATCGATCTAATATACGTGCACATATATATACATATATATACATGAGCTGCGATTCTTATCGTAGCTTGGAGATTTGATGAATAGACGCAATAAAACGGATCGATAGCCGTGGTATTTTTTTATCGACCGGAATCAAATATCACGGTCCAGCGCGACAGAGAGGAATCTTAATCACGCGGGAGAAGACCACCGACAATTCTCTCTTCGTCCACTTATATATTTTCTCACGAGAGATGCAACGATCTCCCTCGTACGTGGCGAGGCAACGCCGCGCCGTTACTCGCACCTCTCTCGATATATATAGCAGAATTTTATTTTCGATCCGCGCTCTCTCTCGCCGCCGCGAGAGTCAAAGTGCCTCGTAACAGGATTATGAAATGTTCCGGAGTAGCGTTCCGCGCGGATGTTTACAGCCCGCGAATACTCGTTACCTTTTATTGCCGGCAAGTTTCAACGATTTCTGGCATCGGGCCCCGCGACGTTAACGAGCGACATTTTATATTTCCATCGGGCCGTATTTCTCCCTCTTTCTTCGCGCGGAGAATTATTCCGTATTTTCGGGACTGAGCGGAGGTCAATCTCAGAAAATCAATCTTCACGACATTTTGAAATTTCTAGGGAAATTCGGATTTTATTCTACAGAACAATGAAATGATTTTTTTATGAATGTTGCGGATTTATTTTCCGCTGCAGAGATGCTTTCTTACCTGTCAAAAACATTTTTTATCTTATCTATAAGAATTTTAAAATTGTGCACTTTCCTCGAACAACAAATTCGAAATTGGTTTTTACTCGGTAAGATTCTACATTACCGTGTATATGATTGTGATTTATTATTTTTTTCAATATTAAACATGATAATTGAGATATGTTTTAAATATTTATTATAATTTAATTGATACAATCGCTTGTGAATGATTACGTTGCGTTTGCTTTATTGATACTACGTTTCATTAAAATATCTGAGTTGCAATTCCCCGAATGAACAAATAATAATTTTGCATGCTAAAGAAATAAATGTAAATTTAATAAACGGGTTTATTAATTTTTCTTTAATATAAACATCAATATAATAAAGTATATAATAGTAATTCTACAAATTGCAGTTTTGACATTTGACGAAACATATATTATATGTTCCATTTTTTCTCTTCCACCACTTACTCGAGTTAAAATTTTACTTGTATGTTCATCTCCAATTTTCTCAGATTTTAGAGAATTTAATTTTTTTACAGGAATCTTCTTTCAAGTATCTCAAAAATTTTTCAAGAAATTTAAAAGAAAAACTTTTATTAAATCACTTCAAAAGACAGCAACTGCTTAAAGTATCAAGATGGATTTTGGGATCAAAAGTAGGAGAAAAATTTCAGCTCGACTAGAATCTAACAAACGAGGCGTTTATATGAGCGGTGACGAATGATTTCCCGAGAGACAGAGGGATCGAACTACTTTTTTTTTCCAGTCGTAGCACGCGTTTGTGTAGCCATCGTCAGAAAGCCGCGGGCACGTTTCGGCGCGACGTTGTGTAAATTCGGACGGGCCAATGATCGAACGCGCGTGTTCGGGAAAGATGTTTATTATCAGTAAACCGAGCTCTCTTTGCCGTATTCCCCTTTCTCTGCTTATCCCCTTAGCAGGAGGCTTAGACTTTCATATCAGTCGACGTATGGCCGCGCTCGGCCTCGGTACATTTTATCCGCGTCGTATAATCCGTCGCTTAATGATACGATCAACGGTGCTTAATTCGCCTAATTAGTTCCCGATGGCACGATACAAATATTAATCGCGTCTCGATGCAAACGATCGATGATAGCGCGCGCGCGCGCGCGCGGAACGATTCGCTCGTAGATTCTTCTTCGAGTGTTTGATAATGAATAATCTCGCGTCCGTCTGCACTTGTCGAAAACGCAGGAGAGCGACAACGACAAGTTCCAATTGTTGGACGCTAATTGCCATAATTTGCGCATATTGTCTCCATGTTGCGCGCGATATTACAGCCGGCAAAAATTACGCCATTTTTAAATGCCGGATTTGACGTCTCCTCGCGTGAAAATCTTCCAAGGTGCGAAAATTTCAAAATTATACACCGAAGAAAAGGACTAGTACTTATGATAAAAAGAAAACGGAGAGCGAAGAGAGGAAGAAGAAAAGGACGAAGAGTGCCTCCGGCGCACGGAGTATCCCTCAAGGTCATCCTCGCACACCTAGCGCGTTACTTTCGTCGCGAGGGTGTCGACACGTGCCTCGGGGAGGTAGAAAATCACCGAGAATCTTCGCAAGGAGATCTCGTATGGGAAGAGGACGAGGGGGAGGAGAGGGGGTAGTCTTACACAAGTAGGATAATCTTACGCGCTAAAAGAGACCCGAATCGAGCTAAACGAGAGGAAGCGCGAAAGAAGAAGAGACAAGGACGTACGCCGATAAAGAGAAGAACGAAGTAACAAGGTGAGACGGTATACGACGAAGAAGAAGCGCAGCCCGATCGTGCTGATAGTGGGGCAGACAAGAAACGTCGAAAGAAGAAAAATAGTCTGAGAAGGAGAGACGAACGGACGGACAACGAAGAAATGGTTCGCGAGAAAGCGGAGAGACAGAGGAGTCGAGGAGACGAGTAAGGGAAGAGAACGAGAGACCGATCGCATCTATGAGGGAGAGAAAGCTAGAGGATCATTCTCCGAGTCTCTTTCTTCTCCTTTTTCCGTCTCTCCCTTTCTCTCGCACTCCCTATCTCTTCTTTCTCCTTCTCTTTATCCCTCCTGTCACGTGCACCTGTCTTCGTTTACCTGGTGAACGCCCCGCCCCGGCCAATCGAGGTACGGCGGGCCTGGTGACGTCAGTCACGCGTACCAGGAGGCCCTAGGTAGAGGGGACGAGATCATCCACCACCACCTTTGGAGGCCACGAGAGCCCCACGGGGGCCAGCGGCTAACAGCAGCCAGCGGCGGCGGTCTGGCCGGCCGTTTGCCGCGGGGTGGGGGCAGGAAGAGGGGTACTCTGGACCTGGCCAGGTCGCAGAAACAACGCAGGAGTAACCCACCAAAACCCATCCTATATTTCCCACCACGGTGGCTCGTCCGGAAAACGTGCGCCAGCTTCCGGACGGCGTTTCGTCCGAGTTCAGTCAAGTGAGTCGAGTCGCACATACGTCCTCTCGGACGACGACCGATCGCAGGGGGTTCCGGGCGAGGAAAGACGGAAGTGTTGGCGCGTGCCGACGAGAATTTAAAGGGCTCTCACGGTGTCGATCGTTTGGAGAGCGTCGGTGTCGATCGAGCGCGGATCCGATGTAAAATAATTCTCGGGATGTCTCTGGGACGCGGAGAGATTTTCCGACTCGGTATCGCGACTCGATGATATCCAGTAGAATGTCCGCGCTGTGACAGGTAGGGCGAGACCTTTCCCTCCGATTAGTAACCTCGCGCCGATTCTCACCGGATCGCTCGCGTCCCATTTCGAGGGGGGTCCTCCCGGTCGAGCCATTCCGTCGGTTCCGCGCATTGTGATTATCGACGCGACTACCGGGGATCGCATCGGTGGTAAAAGAGTGCGTGCACTCGGGAGGGGTGTGTGATGCCCTGGTTATGGTTAAGCGTGAGTGAGGTCAGTGGCGAGAGGCGGAGAGGAAGAATCGGTTGCAGAACGTCACCTACATCGTTGCCGTCGTCGTCGTTCTGCCAGCCGTTCTGCAGACGACGAGACTAGTGACCGCGCAAGGTCGACCTCGAGGCAGAGGCACGCGATTATGGTGCACCATCGTCATCGTCGCCGCGGCCTCCAGGCGAGCCACCACTGCGCCATCGGGAGACGTACGTGCGTCTCGCTCCTCCAGGTAATCCTGCTGATCCTCGGTCTCTGGCTGCCCTTGTTCGAGAACGGCGCGCTGGCGTGCGGGCCTGGTAGGGGCGGTGGCCGACGGCCGGTCGTGAGGAAGCTCACACCCCTGGTCTTTAAGCAGCATGTGCCAAACGTCAGCGAGAACACCCTGCCGGCGAGCGGCCTCGGCGAGGGACGGATATCTAGGGACGACTCCAGATTCCGAGATCTCGTGCCCAACTACAACTCGGACATTGTCTTTAAGGACGAGGAGGGCACCGGCGCGGATCGTCTCATGACACAGGTGAATTCGCGCGCGCGATTTTAGGGTTGCGAGCAAAGGCGCGAGTAGACGAAGAACCTGTCCTCCTTCGAAAAGAATTCAAATTCAGGAAAAAATGCACGTTTATTTACACTCATAAATTATGCGTCAGTTGTTCCTTTCGCGTACATGAAAAGAAATGCAGAAATTTTATTCGTCGCTATTATTTTAAATCCGCAGTGATTTTTATCACGTGTGATTTAATTGGATAAATGATTGAATGAGTCTGTAAATAAAATCGAGTATATATATAATCTTTAATCTTGTATTAAAACGTTGCTTATCATCTTCACCTACTTGCGTCTTTCGTTAATTATCTGATATGTGACGGATAAAGCATGAGATATTTACTTTAATCTTTATCGCAACCGCAAATAAAGTTAAATAATCTTTATCGAGATTTGAGTCAAATCTAACTAGGGTAAAGAAAATTGATATCAACAATATTAACAATCTTGAACGCAACCTGTGTACTATCGTTTCGGATTACGCTTGTACAAACAACAATTCGATTCCGCACGTGACTTTACGTACTCTCCGGTAGCAGAGTCGTACTTTAAAAGTGTGGCAGCTATATAATGTCACGCCGATGATAAAACTGCGTCAAGTTGCGATAAAGACGGCCGTCCTTGAGGTGCCCGTCGCGCCGGTGAATCATCCTGCGAAACGACACGGCGTTTACGAGGGATATTACACCGGCCGATCGATCGGTCGATCGCGTTCCGGTCTCATATTAATTAAAGTGACAATCGGACGCGACGTTATCCGGACGCCATCGGGTCTCATCTTCCTCTGCCTTCTCGTTGATTTGCCCGCGTACAAAAGATGGTGAAGGATGATCAGAAATTTCGAGGAAATGAGCCAGTAATTTCTTCCTGTCAAAGATATATAGCCTCGTTTTTTTAGAAAAATTAGTCTCTAATATACATTTTTTCTCCTCTTACTTATCCCATTACTCTCTATCTTATCCAATGTAGCGATATTTTCTGCATATCATTATCCATATAAACGATACGCAATACATTACAACAGTATTATGACGTGATATACAATGATTTATAACCGATAAACGGTTGTAACACGCGCACATTGAAGATTACGTGCTCATGTAATTGAAAAAAATAATTATTGCAAGAATTGGGAAGAATTAAAATTGCTTCCATTCTATTATTTTCTACTGAAAAATAAAAATTAATAGTGATCACGAAAGCGATGCACAAAAATTCTCATCATGTTTATCACTTCTAATGACATTGATTTTTTTAGCAATATCTATAAAAAAAATTTCATCGATGCTGGTATTTTAAATCCTATTAACTCTTAAAATCTTCATGTAATCAGCATTCAGGAACTAAATAATTCAAGAAATTTCTATGTTTATTGAATCTCTATAATTTTGAAAATCAACATCTTATATGAGATAAACAATGTGTCAAAGAAAGAACTGTTTCGCATATAATGAATAATAAAAATATTCGTAAATTTACCTATTTTTTTAAATATCGCAGGCAGAGTTCTTTTTATACTTTCGAAAGTTTACATAATTTTTTTTATGAAAGTAAAGAAAAATCGACTTTTTGCTGATCTTTATCTTCCACATTCTAACCTAATATATATGCAGATGCTTTTATAAAAATTGTCTACATACAGCGGTATACATAATCGTAAATGCGTTTATGCGAAATGCCTCAATGATGGCAATTTCCGATATATCGATCGAGTGTGCGTCTCCTCCATGAACAAGCGCGCGAACATGCGTTATTACTTTAATCCTTGTCACCATACTCCGGGCTGTATGACAAACTGGCTACTGCACATCGTTAAAACGTCGGCAGGTGATTCACGCGAAATGCTAGCCGCGTGATAAGCGTACTCGATCATACTCGTTTTACTTGCAAGACAAGATCGATGATTTATAAGACATTACTTGGAGCATGATTTTTCACTCGCTATCGATCTCGAAAGGCAAAGGTATATATTCTCGACATTTTCCTTAATAGTTAGTTATTTCCTCTAACTTGTTCAAAAATCAATAAAGAAATTGAATAGATTAATGTGCACGATAATCAAATAATTCTAAACATCTAATAACCTATTAATCATATCTATCAATTATTTATTATCTATTAATTCTAAATATCTATCACTGCTTTTCAGTAATAATATATGATGATCCTGTTTGAATAATCCTTTTTATGAAAATTTGTTCAACGTTTACGCTTGAAATTTAAAAATGATTTGCGATACTGTGGATATCTATACAAATCGACAGGAGGAAAGTTTGATCGCGGATCCGTCGTCACCTTTAGGAAACAGAAGACCATTCGAGGTTTATTTCCATGGACCACTGTGGCTCCATTAGTGCGTTTTATTCATGCATTTTTTATCGATGTTTGCCTTCCACTTGGCGCCTCCGCGAAGCGTGAAACGATTCTCCTAACTCCGAACCCGTTGTATTCCAATTTGTAAGTCGACATCGCCGCGTCGCACAAAAGGTGGTCCAGGCGCCGCGGACCAGTGGTGCTTAAGCGAACAAAACCCCTGAATTCTTAAAAGCTTGTCTTGGAAAATATCCAAGTGTCCCATTTAATCACGAATTGTCAGCAAATAAGAAATCACGATGGAGGAATGCGACGAGTGGCGATATTTTTTTCAATCAAAGCGATTTTATCGCAAACGCGATCAAATATTTCTCGCGTTGAAACGGCCGTTTGATTATTCTTCTAGAACATTTTATATTTTGTTACATACACAAATTATATACTTACACATGTCAAAATTAATTTAACGTTTTCAAGAAATGCTGAAAGGCCAAAATAAATTTTTTATTTTTTCAATTTTTAATATTTGTTACAATAAAATAAAATAAATTGATTTTATAGATAGATAAAATAATAATATTTTCTGTGTATTTGATATGATATAGTTTGACATCAAATAATTGTATTGACTTGTAAGAAATTGAAGGTTTTTTTTCGAGCTATTTACATGACGATTTCATGCGATCGACATATTTGACACGTCTCGTTGTATTACAAAATCAATAGACGGCAAAGAAAAAGAAATAATAAAAGATTCTATAAATATGGGTTCGAAGATATATATGTGGATATTGCTATACAAATGGTTAATAATATTTCGTAATCGATTTTCCGTGATAAAATTAAAGGAAAATTGCAAGATCATTTGTTCACACAAAGGGCTTTTAGATATCGTGTGCTCCGTGCCGGTTGTCGCACTGTGTAAATTTACGACTGAGGTGAAAATTCGAAGAGTAGACTCTTTCCTGGTCTCGTATTTACTCGGATTTCGCATAAAGGGCCGCCTTTTTATCGGCTACACCGTGAGACGAAGGTTGGACCGGCATCAAATCTATCACCCCAAACGCAGCATTTTCACTCGTTCAAATATTACCACAAGCCTCTCTTGCTAGTCTTTGTTTCTTTCTTTCTCACTGTTGGATGATACACGTTGTGTTTTTGAGAGATACATCGCAGGTTATATTAGGACTAATACTTTATGTATGGGCTTTTTCTTTTCTGAAAAGCCGACAATCAATTTTCGAACAGTCAATTGGCAAAGCCGATTCTCGACTGTTTAAAGATCGCATCTAAAAACTATTGGTTTTAACAAATTGATCCCTAATTTATTTCCTTACAAAAAGTTCCAAAAATTCTATTTCATCAATTATGAATTATCTATTATTCGTATGCCATTTTAACTCTCACAATTTAATTATCGATCTTTAGACACTAGCTGTATGTAATTGATAATAAAATCGAAATAGAGAAAATATATGTCAAATGCAGTTTTTAAATCATTAACAAATTCACAATTTACGATTTTATAACAAACAAATGCACTAAAATAATACGCGATATATTTAGATAAATTTAGAAAGCTGTTCTCATTTCTCCTCGCAAAAGAGAAAATTTTTAAAGTCTGACAATATCATATTCGATATTTTCTTACAATCAATTTTATCCAACATAAAAAATATATTTATTTTTTTATTTTTTAATGACAAACAAAAAATTTATATATATAATATATTTATGACACAAATATATTTATCCGACTTGTGTCTGTGAAAGGATTTAGCGAAGCGATATATCTTGCGCAGGCATCGATGTCTCTCGAATAAAACCGCGATCCGTCGGTAACTCGCGAGCTTTCTTATTTACGCATTGCATCCATAGATCTCGAAATGGAAGTAGCAATCACAAGAAATAATTCGAACGCAAGTAAAAATCTTTCTTTGAGAAAACTTTGAAAAATACGTTAGACTCTCGATCATTTTTATTCATTCAAAGATAACGACTAGACGGTCGTGTGTCAAAACTTTCATGAAGCATAAATCAAATAAGATGTTTGCTTTCGCAAAGCTTAACGAAGTGATTAATTATCGCCTGCAGTCAGGGATTTTCTTGACACAACAACAATTACACCTCCACTAAATTAATTTTTATAACATCTACAATTTAATGACGAATTTATGATATATGATTTATAATACTTAAGTAATGACAAATATCATTACCATAATCTCTTCCAAAGTATTATACGCACCGCGTATAATTAAATATCCTACAATATTTCATACATCTATCGCTAAATATGGTCGCTGATGATTTTACTGAACCTTCACCCCGGAAAGAGCGAAAATCGAGGCTGAAAGTTATGCGGCAACGCATAAAATTCGAAAGAAGGTACATAAATTGATGAAATATCCGAAAAATCTTGAATCCATCTGAAAGCAATAAAATCGACGCGACAGAAGAAGCTTAAAAATTGCGCTAAAAAGAAGCGTTCGAAGAAACAAATCGCCGAGAGACTCGGTCCTCCAGTCCGGCTGCGTCGTCCAGCTGCTCATCCACCATCGGCACGACTAGCAGCCGTCGGTCGGAATAAATAGGGAGAAAAAGCGTGTATACCGCGCGCCGACTCTAAGTGATTGTGGGTAGTTTTATGGCGGCCATAAC